AATAACCCCCTGCACCAGTACAGGCTGGGGCTGACCTGCGGGAAAGCAGCTCTGTGGAGAAGGACCTTTTGGCGAAATAAACACCTGAAGAAAAGTACAAAGATCAGCACTTACAGAGCCATAGTGCTGTCTACTCTCTTATACAGATCTGAATCATGGGTCATCTACTGCCACCACCTGCGTCTCCTAGAACGCTTCCATCAACACTGCCTCCGTTCAATCCTAAACATCCAGATTATGTGACCAATACATCTGTTCTTGAACAAGCAACAGCCACAAGCATTGAGGCCATGTTACTGAGAACAGAGCTGCGTTCGGCAGGGCACGTCTCCAGGATGAAGGACCACCGCCTCCCTAAGATCCTGCTTTATGGCAAATTTGCCACCGGCTACCACAAGAGAGGAGCCCCGAAGAAAAGATACAAGGACTCCCTGAAACAACATTTTAGCCTTGGCCATATTGACCACCATAACTGGTCTACTCTGGCCTCCAATTGGGAGGCCTGGAGACACACCATCTATAACGCTGCTGATGCTTTTGAGAAAGCATGCAGGATCACCCTTGAGGAGAAAAGACAACGCAGAAAGAATTGTGCCTTACAGAATATACCATCTAAGGAGTCTTTCTGCTGTGCCTTTTGCAACTGGACATGCCTATCTTGTATTGGCCTTTTAAGCCACCAACGCGCTTGCAACAAACATGGGTAGAGCCCTTCCCAAATCTTCGTTTGCGAAGCCCAGCCATGATGATGATGGAGAAGGACCTGGGGGTCAACAAGCTCTTCATGAGCCAGCAGTGTGCCCTTGTGGCCAAGAAGGCCAATAGTATCCTGGGCTGTGTTAGGGAGAGCATTACCAGCAGGTCGATGGAGGTGATCCTGCTCCTCTGCTCTGCCCTCGTGAGGCCACATCTGGAATGCTATGTCCAGTTCTGGGCTCCTCAGTACAAGAAAGACATGTAGCTCCTGGAGCAGGTCCAGCAGAGAGCTACAAAGATGATTAGGGGGCAGCAGCATTTCTCTTATGATGTCTCTTCCCGGAGAAGTTGTGGGTGCCCCATCATTGGAAGCCTCCAAGGCCAGAGTCAATGCAGCTTTGAGCAACCTAGTTTAGTGGAAGGTGTCCCTACCCTGCCAAGGAGTTGGACTAGATGACCTTTCTTTAAAGGTCCCTGCCAAACAAACCATTCCGTGGTTCTATGAAGTGGTGGCTGTATCACCACCAGAAAACTCACAGAGGAGCCTGGCCCTTCTGAGAGTTTTTGAAACACATTTCAATACACTGATGATGAGACTGAGGCAGAAATCATGCCACAGACCTTGTTCATCAACTGTTTCTCAAGAAAATGGCTTATTCTACTGCCCTCTCTGCTATAATTTTACTTAAATCAATAAACCCTTAAAAATCGCACTTCCTCACTCTTCATATTAACCATCTTGTCATAAACAGCTTACGAGAAAGAAACTGTACTACAATTTGTTTTTCCACTGTAAATCTGTCACCTTTCTCAATACTATCACAGTGAAGTAACTAGAGCCAGGAACTAATGAACGCACATATTAATCCACAAAATCCAACCATGCTAATTATGAAAGATGAATTATGCAGCAAGTTCCCTATTTGTAGTCCAATTCCCTATTTGTTTTATGGAATCTCATTATACTTCTGAGATAAAATGCTTAAAACAAACTTCTGCTTTTAAGCATAATTTTAGACTCTTAAGTTATATTGAAAGATGTGAATGAAGGCTGACTGGTTTTTGGTTTTTTTTAATAATACCATCATCATTATAAACAATTTTCTTTCTGACTTTAATATTTTGTAATTTCTTCCTAAAATAATTAAAGCAATAAAGTAAAAATATAAAACACCCGCTGCTTTGAACATTTGCATTTTCTTCCTAAATGGATGGATGAAATGACATCATGGTTAATTGGCACTTCTGAATTAAGATAATTAATCAGAAATGAAACCATAAGGAGAGTGGGCTGAATTTTTAATCTAGTTTTCAGTAATGACTGATTTTTCTCAAGTAAAATAAGTAGCATTTTTTGGTTAGCTTCTTGCAGGTGAAATCATTGAAAATCTGAAGTTTTAGATGGTTGATTTACCCCTTTGAGTTCTGCATAGGAAAGTCTAGTTGATGAATACTATTGTATTTTTTTGAAATACGGGTTTGAGGTAGAAAGATATGATAGGGAAAGATTTGTTAATGACTTCATTTTAATTCTTTACATTAAACATAGAAAATATACTTAAAAAACAGGAAAAATGTTTAATATAAGAGACTATCCTCTACTAGGGATTGTGGTGAGTTGACCTTGGGTAGCTGTCAGACGCGTCCAACTGCTCTCTCACTCCCATTCTTTAATAGAGATAGGGGAGTAAATAAGCTAAAAAACACTCATGGGTGGAGATAAAGAGAGAGTGCTGGAGATCACTTACCAATTACTATCACAAGCAAAACATATTCAACTTGGGGAAATTTTAATTTAATTCCTTGACAATTAAAAGTTTAACTGAATGGTGAGATACAAAGACAGAAAGTAAAACACCTTCCTCCCAAAAATGTTTTTTCCCCAGACTCAACTTTGGTCCTTCATTCCCAACCCTTTGACCTCCTCCCTCATTAAGCCGTGCATGGAAGATGGGGAATATGATCACTCCATAACAGTTTCTTTCTGCTACTTCATCCTCTTCACACTTTTCCCTTGTTCCAGAATAGGGCCTCTCCGTGGGCTGCTGTCCTTCATCATAAATCTGCTCCAACATGGGGTCCTCCGTGGGCTGCAGTGTCAATATATACTCCACAATCCTTTCACAGGCAGGAGGGGAATCTGCTCTGGTATCTGAAGTACCTGTTTCCCCTCCTTCTTCTCTGACTTTTTCTCTGACCTTACTGTTTGCAGAATTATCCCTTGTGCTTTTCCACTCCCCCCCCCGCTTGTTGTGCAGAGTTTTGCTCTTCATTAAATATGCTTTCCCAGAGGCACCACCAACTTGGCTAATGGGTTCAGTGCTGTCCTCTGGTTAGTCTTTTACAGAGTCAGCTGGAAACAGCTGTGTCTGATAGGGGCAGCCCCTGGTCTCTTCTCACAGAGCCGACCCCTGTAGTGCCCTTCACACTACCAAAACCTTGTGATGTACACCCAATATACACTAACACTGGAAGGATGCCTTTACATCTCCTATTTAAAACATGTACAAATGCACCTTCAAAAAAACCTGCAAAAAACCCAAAAAAACCCCAAAACCCAAACCAAAAACCCTCAGGAAGGAGGAACTGAAAAAGTGCACTACTATGAATGCTTCAGAAAAAAGCACATAAAAGAGGATTGTATTGTTATGATCTGGAATAAAGAACCAAACAATCAGTTCTCCATGCCTAGAGAGGATGGAACCTGAATTAATGGGTTTGAATTACAGCTAGGAAGATTTAAGATAGATATTAAGTAAAACTTTCTAATGACATGGATCATGATACACTGAAACAGATTGCCTGAAGAGCTTTTAGATTTTCAGTCATTGGAAATCTCTAAGGACAGGTTAGGTAAACATCTATCAGAGTTGACAGGTACAGTTGATTTTGCCTGCTGGCAAAAGTATAGGGTAGATGACCTCCTGAGGTCTCTTTCAGACTGCTTTTCTCCCATTCTGTGATAGGCAGTCATTTAGTCTACAAGTACACTCATGACTTCAATGGGTGTTTATAGAAAAAAGTACTCCTCAAAAGGATATTTGCAGAGATGTTTGTTTTTCTGAAAGTAAGGAGATATGCACAAAAGGAGTAGAGATCCTGGCTGAAAATGTCATCCATTTTTTTTTTCTGATCAAAAAAATAACATCTTAAATAGATTTTCTGAACAATACAGATGGGTTTGGATTTTCAAGAGGGTGTGCATGGAAAGCCACATTGCCTCCCTTACTATCGTAAGCAGAGCAAGACACTGAAACACATTTAAGTGTCTATATGTCTACAGGATATAACTTTTGTAGAGCTTTAGCACTGGGCACTTAAATGACTCTCAGAAGATGGTATATCTTTGCCTAAGTAACTGCCCACACTTCATCTGGATGATTATTATAAGAAACTTGGAATTCTTTCACTGAGTAATCTACCAAATACCTGCAGTTACAGACATTTGCACATCTACACCTGAGACTTCTTTTGGAGTCAGTGGAGAGGAACAGGCACTTTGTTCAGCTGACTTATTTTCACTGTTGCCTTTAGAATAAGATGATTTTTGCCCTGGAAGTACTTCTTTAAGACTGTGAAGAAAACTAGAAGTGAAAAGTGAATAGTTGAAAAATGGACATATGTAATAAAAAGATAAGTAAATGAATATCACTCTTCCTTGGGTAGATTTTCACATTGTATATCATCACTTCATTGTCTTTCACATACTTTTTTTCACACAGCTTCTGTGAGATAGGAAAAGCTCTTGACTTCTTTTTGAAGATGTGGAAATGAAGCACAGGATAGTTCTGAGAATTGCCCAAGGTTATACCACAAAATTCAACAGAAGAGAAGCCTGAATCTAAGTTTGTGAAGTCTCTAACTGTTCCACTGGTTTTTTCCTTTTTTTAAATAACAAAAATGAATTTTTAACAAAGTATGTGTTCCTAAGGCAGTCATCATCAAAAGTCTGCCACTATTGCTGCTCTTGACTTTATCCCTCCAAACAGACACTGATTTCCTTAGCTAGATTATTAAACGAGAAAAAAAAAAGAAAATTGCTGTGTGTGAGAAGGAGTGAGAAGTCTTTCTAATTAGAATGCTGCAAAATATTTGAGGATTACATAATGGAAAATTGTCTGGTGCTACAAGGATGGCAAATTTGCAAAAACATACCTTCAGAATGAGCATAATCTTACAAGCATCCATATGGTAAAACATTCGTTATTTCTGATTTGGAAATGAATAAATTATCTTCCAGGGCTAAAACGCATACACACACACACACACTTGTATTCAAGTACTATGTATATATTCATACTTACATGACATATAAAAGCATTTCTTAATTTTCATTAGTTTGATCCAAGAATGAATCCAACTGTTTTCTTCAGGATCCAACTGTTTTCTTCAGAATGCCTAGCAAAAGGAAAACAGAAGTATGGAATAGACGAGTTGATAAATGTCTAGTGCTTTAAGTATTTTTTGATCAAGAAGAACTGATAAGCATATTTGTAAGGGGAAAAATCATAGTTTATCTTCAGCTATGTGGCAAGTGGCACCAGTCCCACTGAAGAGAAGATATCCAAGACAAATAAGCTCTAAGAAAGTTTTTTAGCTTCAAACTTTTCAGCAAATTCAATAGGCCCTGATGTCCACAGTTTTGTCATAAATATTTTAGGTAAAATCTCAGTCTAATTTTGGCAGAGTAACAACAACCCCTCAGTGTGAACAGAAAAACCCATTTTCTTCTAGGTTCATTGGAGCTCTAGAAGCTAATGTCTGAAATGCATACTTAGTTCTTGAAATGGAGCTCAGCACTGAAAGGAGAAAAGAAATAAGAGAGTAGAGAAAATAACTCTTCCACAGGGTAGAAAAAACATGTAACAAAGAATCTCTAGGACACACAGAAGTACTTCTTGACACACATTAAAGCCCTAGCTTCTTTTCCATCTCCCATGATATTCTCCAAAGTTATGTGTGCATACAGTCAGCTCTTATATTAATTATCTTATATTGGAAATAAATCTCACTTGTGATAATATACCCTGCTTCTCAATACACAGAGACTTCAAAGAGCATCATTTGTAAGTCCTCTGGTAATTCTGCTTGACTAAAGTTTATGCACCTTGATCAAGGTGAAAAGATCCTGTAAGGTGTGAAGAAATACAAATCTGAAATATTATTGAATGCTTCTGGATAATCTGTAAAATGTTACTGCTAAGGTTCTTAAAAATTTAGAGATGGTAAAGGTAGTTTTAAATGATCCAGCACAGCAACCCTCAGGGGTAACCTTAGATCAGGGGTAATGCTGGCAATGACAAGAAGTGGCTACAAGGCACAAGATATTTTTTTTTAATTGATATGTGTGAAACAATACATCCATTAGCAGCAATATTTTGTTCAGGCTACAAGATCGTACCCAATAACATTAGTGAGAAAAGTAGCTGTCTATATGTAAATATTAATTCACCTTTTCAGCAAAACTAAGAGAACCAAGGAAAACTGAACCAAGCTTCCTCCTGTTAGTAGTTCTAGGGACAAATCTGGCCTCTAGCTGGAACAAGCCCTTAGTGAAGTGCAGATGGTGTCTCTGTGTTGTGGTCTTTAAATGCATTACACAATGAATTCAGACCCTAATTTTTCTTATAATACAACATATGTGAGTGTTTTATATATTCTCAGTGAGTTAAGTCAAACTATATTCACTTGGTAAACTCCATGCAGAAGTCCTCCACAGAGGAGGAAACTGGTTCTGCTATGTACAGAAAAATAAATTTACAGCAGAATATTGTTCTCCATCAAAATAATAATTTAAGAATAAATATGTAGAATTCTAATCTTTCTTGAACAGACCTATTTTTAGTTATCTGGTCTAAAATCCAACTAATTTAATTTGCAAGTTTTTTCTAAAGTACAGGAAGATGGAATTCTAAAATATCCATCCTTTTCTTAAAATCCACTTCTTTTTGATAAATAATATGGTATGTGTAAACCAGTAAAATCAATACTGATTCAAAGATATATATCAATGAATGTAAAGATTCCAGCAAATAAAACAGTTGAAGTTGAAATTTTTCTTTCATTTCTGCAGATTCTTCCAATGATACAGAAATTTTAAACAGATTTGCAGATTACTATGAGATTTTTCAATGAGTGTTCTGCACAGAGATTCTTAACTCTATTATGTTTTACATATGCCAGATTATGCGGCAAGAGGAGGCCCCGCAGCATGTAACTCATGGCCACATGGCTGGTCTGCAGGAAAACTGGGACCCAGCAGCTGGTGTTCTGAATCATTAGGGGTACTGAAAATTGAAGCACAACAGGCATGTTATTCTAGAGCTACACCAATAAAATCTTGCATTTCATTACTACCTCTGCTTTCTGTCATGGGATTTACTTTGCCTTTTATTTTTATACTTCTGGGTAAATATACTATTTAATGTATTATATATCTTTTGTAAGGCTTTATCTTTACTGCTGCTTTTTCTATCACCAAATAAAAATAGTTCTTCTTTTTTCTTTTTACAAATTCCTCTTTTTATATCCACTGCAAGTCAGAGGGTAGTTTTACTTTAAGAGTGTTTGAATGTTGTGTCCAACCTTTTCTTCTTTGCTTAGCCTGCAAATTCCAGATACAGTTTGCTCTTTTGAATTAATGTGCATGGCTTTTCTATATTAAAGTCCTTAAACTCTCAATCCAGTCATTGTCTCTAATTGGTTCTCACAATTACTTAAAGTTTGACCTTTCAAAATCAAAATCCTTACTTACAGACATGCTTTTGTTTGTCCTACTGTTTCATTTAAACTGGATCAGATGGGGATCATTAGATTCAAGGTTTTCTGCAGAAGGCTCTTTTATAATGTGACTCTTATGTTGCCATGTACTTCATATTACATCCATGTCTTATAACTTCTATTTTAAAGTACTTATGGAAGATAAAGGACAATGACTGAGCAAAGGAATTTTAGATATTAATATATTATATGCCATAAAGCTCCATCTAAACCCAATGGTATTAAAATCATAAGTTCAAGCATTCCAAAACAGGAATTACAATGCAAAAATTGAAATTATCCTGACAACTAATTATACCCATTTCTCATGTACATAATTTTAAAGTATTTAGTTATGTGATCAAATCTCACTTACATTTCCACAGGATTTCTCTCTCAGGTGGTGCACAAAAAGCATGAAGACGAAGCTCTTGTCTTCGAATGGAAATATATATACCCCAGTTTTGAAAGAGGTGAATACTTCACTCAAATCTTTATAGAAATATATCACAAGAAGGCAGAAATACTGCATTCCAAGCGACTGCTTCCCTTATTAGATTCAGTCACAGCAGTGTATCTTTGTCATATTAGGACTGAATCCTCCTGAGTTCAGCAGGGAGCAACATGCAAAGAAGAGCTAATTAAATATCTCTGGTTTGGTGCAGCAAATTGGCATGGAAACACCTTTCCAATATTTGTTAAAGTAGAAATGTGACTCATTCAAAACTCTAGCCTCACAAACAGTTTTGTGCTACACTAGTAGATGTTTCTCATGGCAACTAAAGACCATAGAGACCATTATAGTTCAAGTTTCTAAGTATTTAGGACAGTTTCCCTACGGTTTCTTTTACGTCAAAATGAAAGTATATTCCAAATACTCTGAGTGTGACTTTTGAACCCTTTCTTCAACAGTGAAAAAATGGTACCATTAATTAGCAATTGCACAAATTTTTTCATCTGTCCATTTCCAAGAAGTTTTTGGAGATGGGAAGACTAAGGCAACGTGGAAAGAAATTGTATGTCTGAATGTGAAATAAATATACTCCTCCATTTTGAATAGTTCAAAATAAAAATTTTCCTTAGATGGAAAAAGGGAAGTAAACTTTTTCTTTTGTAATCTGATCCTGCCACTCACTTTCACGTTGACAAGGTTTATTTTAAAATTTATTTTAAAATTATTTATTTTAGAATGAGAAAATTTGGGGTAATTAATTCAATTCTGAGAAAAAAATCTCTAGTAAAAGCTGTAGGTTTTTAGAATGGTTTAAGTCTCCTAAACTGGTATGCACCACCTTAATACAATATCATTTGTCACAAGGAAGGGACCTTGCTTACTCAAAGTCATGAAGTTTTATTTTAACAGGGTGAACAGTATCACCTCTGTGATGATGAGGTAAATAAGGAAGGTGGGAAAACATTATTAAAGAGCTCTCAAAAACCATGATGTTCATAAAAGAGTTTACTGCTGTTAAAACACACAGGTTGAATTGAGTTTTGTTATTTTGTCAGGAATACCCTAAGGTAGGAGGAATGAAGTGAAAAATAAGATTTGATATAATTTCTAATACACATTAAAAAAAGAATTTTTTTAATTCGTAAAAATGAAGTACGATTCTTTGTATTCAAAGAATTCTTTGTATTCAAATACTACCATATTTTTTTCATAATTTTATTTCTATTGGCCATGAAATACTACCTTTCAAGTAAACCACAATCTGCTTTTCCTTTTTTTCCCCTCCTTTCCACAGTTACCATGACAACCATAGAATTTTTGGTAGGGATAAAAGATTTGACAAGTATGTTGTCTTTCTGCTTTTAAAGTCTTCGTGGCAATATAGATGATCAGACAGGTATTACTAAACAAGGCTGAGCATTATGCAAGTGTGAAAGCTATATAAATAAGGAGGTCAGAAAAAATGGTATTTCCTGTCAAGACCATGATACAAAACAACACAGGGATTCGTCGTTGCAGTAAAAAACATTAAAATTGTTATTTACTTTTTTATGGAAGGGGGGTGGGGAAGGATATTTTCAGCTAGGGCGAACGGATGGGAAAAGGTGTACAAAGAACAGCTCAACATCAAGATCAGTGTAATATCAGTCCTATCTCTCAATTAAATTAGAGAAGTTTAAAGAGTAGTACAAAAAGCAAACATTCTCTGTGGATCCATATCTCACTCCATATTACCAAGACATCAGAGACATACACCCTTTTTCTAGATATTAAAACTATTAAACAGCTTTTGATAAGTCTGAGGACAGACCTTTTAAATTCATGACATTCTAATTAAAATAAAAAATGTGGCACTTCAAAAAAGGGTTTCATTCTGATTTGGTAGTAAAACTAAACTGTGAAAAGGTCTTCTAGAAACAGAAATGTGGAAAATGTATTACTTTGACATGATTTTCGCTTAGTTAAAATTAAAAAAAACCAAACCTGTAATAATTTTTTGTTGATTTGGTAGATTTGCAAAATTTATCCTATATGTTATTTTTATGGCTACTAGTTAGTTCATGGCATATCAGCAGCAGCACATTCACCAGCACTACGACTGGCATGTGACAGTAAGAAAACATAATGAGATATTTTTTTATTCTTAAAATCAATACCAATAACTGGTTTGGGCACTTTTGGAACACTTGTCCTTTTTTTTTTCCCCTGTTTCAAAACACTTCATTACAAATACAAACAAGAGATTCTTTAATGTGGCTTTAAAACTGCTTCATGTTTTCTTTTCAAAGCATCCTTCACCTGAGAGAATTTCAGTTAAAATTAAAAAACCATTTCCATTCTATGTTAAAACCATAATTTCAGTTACATACACTTAGTAGAAAGAATTCTGATCAGTTCAGCTGGCTGTAAATAACTATTTGGGTTCCCTATTTAATTTGTGTATATAGTGGGATCAACTGTGCACAAAATATTAACTACATTGGAATGTATATTGTGGGAGAGCCACTATACTGTATCACTATTTCACTATTAAGCTCTATTTCAAACTCTGAACTAAATTTTCTGAATTTTTGTGAAAAAAATGATTTTTTTTCTCTTAGCCAAGAGAAAATGGGCAGTTCCTATAACTACTAGTTCTTGCTAGTGAAGGCCTGATGAGTACTCAATATCATAAGTACATACACTGATACTGGACAAGCTGCCAAACTTCATCTGCTCAGTGACACTTGTGAAGAAATATCAGACAAATCGATTAGGTTGCTTAAGACACACGGTTCAACACTAACTTGGAAACAATCAAAAGGAATTCTGCTTAGTAGTGTAGAGGACAGATTTTTGACATTTTGACAGGCTCATTTTGCTTGTCTAGTTAAGCCATAGCTAATTACTTCTTTTAGCCAAATTAGACTAAGATGGCCTGGATGGCTGGACAAGAAGGTAAGAAGCTATTTGGATGGGCAGGATCAGAGTGAGTAGCACTCTACATGGCTGCCTCTGACAAGTGGATACCACAGGGGTCTGCACCGGGTCCTGGCAGGTTTAAGAGCTTTGTCAGTGATCTGTAGGTAGTAGTGGAGTGCACTTTCATCAAGTTTGCAGATGACTTCAATCTCCAATTGGGGAGAACAGTAAATGTGATGCAGGGCAGGGCTGCCATCCAAAGGGATTCAGGAAGGATCAGGAAGGCTCCAACAGGAATCACAAGAAATACAACAAGCACTGCACCTGAAAAGGAAGAATCCCAGGCACTGCCAACACATGCTGAGGACTGATGAAACTGGCACAGATCACTGAAGTATTTTCTTATAAAGACATCATATTTGAAGACATTGGAAGGTGGATATTAGTAGTGATATCTCTATTTCTGTTGTGTTTGGTCACATCCTCTAAGCTTTGATATTGCAGGGAGTAATATAACTGTCACCAGGCTCTGCTCTTCTGCATGGCACAAGGAACAGCACCATTCTGTAATTTATTATCAAGTGAGAAGAGATAAACAAAGCAACTTTTCTGGAGTCATTTGCTACACTCATGAATTTCCACATATGCGTCTCTCTGCACATGCAAAAGCACAGTTGCATAATTTAGCATTTTTAGTGCAAATAATAAAAGATTGGCAATAAAGGCAAAGATATTGCTATAGATTTTCCTTCTATTAATTTCAGAATTAATTAACCTTGAACAGAAAACCATGAACAATAGAAGTCTGAATTATTCTGTATTTTAAATCTTAGCATTTGCAACATAGAGCTGGAAAATACAGAAAAAACAAATTTGAAGGAGCAGCTTCTCCTTAATTGTAATTTTTCATTGTATCACTTCTGGTGTTATTTTAGGTTGAAGGACACAGTGCACAAACAACAACCACCTCTCAAGAACATCGAAAGGTTTCAGCTTAATTCAAGGCAACACAGAATGTTTTTATACATCATGCCTTACCTTTAACTGTTTGGTGTACAAAAAATCTTATCGCAGACATTGAATAGGAATATTAAGACTTCATAATTATTATCTAGGTATGTTTAAAAAAGGATCAATTAATTATGTTGTAGTTCTGTCATCCAGAATGTTTTCTTAAGTAATTTTAATTTCCAAATAAGTCTTAAAGGATGAATGATATTGAAATTATCATGTGAGTTAAGAAGAACTGATACATGTTGTGTAACAGGCTGGATGGTTGCTTAGGACTGAGGCTAATTAAAAAGAATTATTACAGTTGTTCAGACTCTACACACATCCATTGACTGTTTGTAAAACCTAGCCCAAGAGGTTTTTCACCTTGATAGGTCTGCCTCTTCTTGGCAAAAGCAACAATGGCAAGTATGATGGTAAATTAAATTAATAAATGCATGGAAAAAATTTTCATACACATATACAACGCAAATCTGACATTGTGTTTAGAGGTGATTACAAATCTGATTGGCAAAGACAATGTCAAAAGCGTGTCACTTGGCTTATTATGTGACTTTCTAACTAAAATTTGACATTCAGCAACAACCAGTGTAAAACATTTGTGTTATCTAGATGAGAAAAAAACCCCTTTATAACTATACCATCTCCCAAACAAATTGTAAATGGAAAAACATAAAGAAATTAATGAGTTCAGAGCTGTCTGTTCTTGACTTAGTGTTACTAATTTGTGTATTGGTGATTAGAAATAAATAATAAAATCAATTCTTACAAAGTTTCCATGTGACATGATTATTGACTCAAGATAAATAATATATATAGAATTCTGAATTGCTCAGTAATCTGAATTCATTTTTAAACATCATGCATTTTAATGCTGCCATATGCGAGATTCTGCATCTAGGAACACAGAAAGGAGGTCACACTCACAAGACACAAATGTTTCTTGGAAAACCTATGCCTGCAAAAGCCTTTAGGGTTTACTGTGTGACCAACTGAACATGAGCTCCCAGCATAATACAGTGACTAATGTAGCTCTTAATTATACATGGTGAAGACAAATAAGACAGACTATAGATACCATATTTCATCTGTATGTTATTGTTGACACCATTACTAGAATAACACATCCAATCCTCAGGTACACACCCCAAGATTGGAAAGTCTCTGAAAAAAACCAGGTTTTCAGAATCTACAATACAGCAAAACTTCACAATGAAATTTCAATCTGATTAATTTATAAAA